TTGTTACAAATTGATTATTTGAAGGATTCGATGGAAGAAACCTAATAAACGACGTTAAAAAGTTGCTAAAAGCTCAATGTTATGTAAATCGAATATATGAATGGCGATGTGAAATTTGATTGAATGAATTATCGTTATTGCAATTTATTGATATTTAAACTTTACTTTTTTTATATATTATTGTTTTATCACAAAACAAATTAATTTTAATAATAAATTAATGTAGATGTTATATAGAACGTCCAATATCGTCAAAACAGATTTCGAGATTTTGAGTATATTTGTGGTAATTATTTTAAAAAGGAAAAATCCACAATGACTAATTAGGTAACTGTGGTGACAATTCTATCAAAAATAAAAATTTGGTCGTACAAATATGAAATTTTTTTTTTTTTTTTAAAAGAATAAAAATGCGTTTATGCAAGTAAAGATAATCAAAATTTTAATTTGATATCTTTTTACTTTTTTTATTTATTCGGTGTCTTAGACTTTATGACAATAATTAACATTTTCACAGTACATTTAAGTGGACATTTATGCTTAATGTTAACGATTATCTTTATGGAATATAAGTTTAAGTTGTTTTATTTTAAAAAGGCTGCATATTTATGGAACCAAGGCAACAACATATTTCGAACTTTAAGCATAGTTACACGCCAGCCAATAGCAGGTGAAATGACATACTCATCAATAATCTTATCCTGTCTAGCACACAAAAAACCTGCGGAGAGATTCAATTTGAAGTCTTCTTTCCCAATACTCACTTTAACTGGAACGGTTACCAATCCAGAAGGTATTGTGGAGGGACATAGCATTTTACGTAAGTTTATATCTTGACTCATTATACGGAAACAAAGCGCATACCAATCCATCATAGCAAGGAGTCAGCACTCCACTAAGATAAGGAAATCTTGTAAATAATCATGCTCCAAAAGTCTACGTCAAGGTTTCCTTTATAGGTGGCAACAAATAGAGAAACCACTGGTTCCAATCTGTCTAACCAAAAATCAGTTCCAATCCTAACCCACGAAGTTTTGCGACCTTTTCTTGAAGGTGTAGCCAATCTACTAAGGTACCAACAAGTGTAACCTTTGGAA